AGACTCCGAACCAGCAGCAACATACAATGCATGCTGCACGTTTTCTGTGGTGAAACCATCGATTGTATCTAGTTACCAGCTGTGGACCCACTGGCCCATTCTCGATGGGGCCGACTGGTGATGTGGGTGCAACGCACCGTGTTTTTGAGCATCCACACCGAGGCCACTCATTGACAGGCACCGGTCTAGAAAGGGGTTGGGGAACTCCCGGATCGCTCCTTCTCCGGATCGCTCAGGAAGGAAGTCTGGCACAACAAAGAACTGCCTGGATGAGTTCCAATGAGTCTCTAGGGCTGCTTAGAGCCTATATGTGGTTGGAGCCCCTAAAGAGGGTCATCCCATGCACAGTTCCAAAGGGCCAGCCGTTCGCACTGGACACGGAGAAGAAGCAAGGCAACTCCTGCATCCGTTGGACGTTTCACCTGCCCTGCAGGAGTCCGTTCTTCCATGTCGCTCAGCGATGTGCCGTTTCTTTGTTCGCGGTGCACCGGGAGTCCCCGCTCAGCGATGAGTGGGTCCAGCTGCGCATAGGCGTGCAAAAGGCGAGAGTTCTTCAGCGCCTCCGGAAAATCAAACGCGGGTGGCGCTGTTTTATGCGCCCACTGCACCGGAGTGACAATCTTCCCAACCACACCAGGTGGCCGGAGCTCCTTAGGGGCATCCGACACATTCCTACACGACCCAAGCAACGCGAGGTAATTACACCGCAACTCAGGTGTGGGTGTGGTCAGGACGTCTCTTGGTTCATCGCGATGACTTTGGGTTGGACATACTACCAAATGCATAATAATAGCATCTTCACGGTGGTCAGGATATTTGCTCGGCGCTGGGAGGTCGAAGAACCTGACCCCAAATACTCTAGTCTGTTGCTTGCACCAGCAGTTGTCAGGTCATGCCCATATAATGCGGTCAACAAATTAGTTGTGAAAAGCAAGTCAGAGCTTTCTCGTGACAAGTTCTGATCAAAATTGTGTCTATTTGCTGCACGCCACACGAATCCCCAAATCAGGCTATGCAACATATGCAACATATATAATATATGACCCAATCTTCCACCTTGCCCTCCTTGCAAGCTCCCTGCCCGACGCCAATAGATAATATATCCCATGCGCGTACCCATGCGCGTGTGGCACGTGTGGGGGCAAACACACGCGGCGTGCCTTGTCATTGTTCACAGAAATGTCCACATCGCGACCGCCATACTCCAGTTTCCTTGGCTCGTTGGCACGAGGAGGAGCCACTTGTGGAGCTCCGGTGTGTTGAAGCTCGGACGCGCGATGGCGAACCAGTTCCCACACAACGAGATGGATTTCTGACCGGAACCATGATCATTTAGATCCTGCAAATGCGAGAATGTTTGGATTCAACACCCCGTAAAAATATAAAACAACAAGTGCACTGACCTTCACCTGCGATGTTTGGCTTCAAAATGCTTCAAACCTCCTGTACATGGAGCCAGGCCTCTACCTTGGCACCGTATCTGCCAGGTTTTGGAGGTAAAATGTGCGTTCGTCTTCCACCACCGGAGGATTTGCCAGCTGATTGGGTGAGTTCAAACAGTGTGTGTATCTGACCAATTCAAAGGCGGTTCTTCAGCTACACCCATTGGCCTGTGTCAAAATCTAGACCCATTAGATCCCATTGGCCTGTGTCAAGCAAGCGCTTGCCCTCTAGCTATCTATTGCAAATTGGTGACCTTCCAGGGATCCCCTGCAAGAAATTCCGCATCCATTGGCTCAAGGGTCTCACCAAATTACGGACCTACATGAGGCTTTGCCATGCTTTGCCATTTGGCATTTGTCCCATTGGTCGCCCGCCTGCTTCCAAAGCCAAAGGCTCAGAATGGGTACTCGCGCTGACAGGATGATGTTCTTTACTTCGAAGTCTGGCTTCTCCAACAGAATTTTCCTGCTCGACCATGTATCTGGGTCTCGGTGACGAGAAACTTCTCCCGACTGTCAGGGTGTCACCAAAAAGCAACCCAAAGACCGAACCTGAACGCGGCTTTCGTGGGTGAAGAGTTCAGTTCAGAACACTGGATGGCAAGGTTCGAAGATTTCCTGGTGGTCCGAAATCAGGACCCAGGTGTGCATTCTGTATTGGATCAAGTTTACACTGTACACATGGGTTTTGACAAGCATGAGGCCACGGATTAGTGGCCAAAAATGTATAGCAATACTTCAACTACAGCTGGAATTGCCCTAGACAAGAGAACCCCCAGTGCAAACCAGGCCCCGATCATTCTTCATTCTCTAAGATTGCCCGCAAGGGGTTGTTTACGATAGCTGTCTAAAGAGATTTGTGAAGTCCTGCCTCTAGAACCCATCAAAGACGATGAAAGAAATCATTGTCTCACATAGGTTCTGTGATTTTCTTAGGGTCGTAAAGCCAGAGTGCGCTTTTCCCATATCATATGCCACATATTATACCTCATGTTTTAGTGGCCAGTGGGATGTCGTTCAGACGTTTCTTATTCGGAACTGCTATTAGAAAAGGTGACCCCTAAAATGCTTGCAGTCGGAGAAGTAGAGCCCCTTCCTGATACGCCACGGATCAAAAGCAAAGTCATGGGTTTTAAGGCTACTGCAGTGGGGACCTTCCAAAACGCAGCCCCGTCTAACGATGCCCAAACAAAAACTAGCAAAATATGACTGAAAAACTCAACATGGCAGCCAGCCCAAATACAGTAACAAATCCATATACAGGGTGATTTGTTTCATGATACCCTGGATCAAACACACGCTTGCTGGTTTCGATATGTTATATATAATTACGTTGCCATACATTCCAGATGTAAACCTCGCCTTTAACGGTTCATCTCACTTGGTGTTTTTTGTGTCACTCCTTTCACCCTTCACCTCCCATCACGCACCAAAAGCTAAATCAAAATCGGGGTCCTAAGTTTCATCAAAATGTCGGCTGCATTGATCTCCTCCGAAGCATTCACCTTGGCTTCAAGGTGGTCCAGGTGGGGGCAAGGCAGCGGCGGCCGGCACCCTCTTCAGTGCCACTGCGTTTTTGCGAAGCTCTCAATTTGATCTGGACCTCTTCTGTCCTACTTCTGGAGGCCCTCCTGGGCGTAGTGTAGGGTGAACACATGACATGACCTCTTGGGATGCTGTGTATATATGGTTGTTTCCTAAAACACAGTAGCCCACTAAGCGTGTTGAAAAAGGAGGTATGTCTCGGACCTTTGTTTCTTGGTATGTCTTGGGCTATATCTCAAACTATGTTTCGGAGGTATGTTTCGGGGAACCTTTCGAAGATCAGCTACCACAAGACCACTCCAACATCAGGAGTTATTGCTCTCTTTTTTTCGCTGAATCTCATTCAGTGTCGCTGGAGCTAGAGGAAGATCCAGAATCAAGTTCCAAATCCACTGCCAAAGCAGCCTTGGATCGTTTTTGCTTGGCGCTGCGTTTTGCAGCGCGTTTCTCCCTCTGAAGGAGCTGTTTCAAGTAGGGATCTCGGCGGCTCACTCCGTCAAGAGGGTTCACTTCCCGGTGATACTCGAGCCTCCGACGCAACACATCTGTGTTGAGTGGTTTCTTCTCTGGCTTTTCTTTTCTGTGAGAAAAACGCCAGTCTTCCTCCGCCTTGACTTCCAAGTGAACAAGGGGACTGATAGTGTCACCATCCAGCCTATCGGAAAAGATCAAATTCTTCGCCCGGACCCGACCACCTGGAATCTTTTCCATCATGACGCAGTAAGAATACTCAATCTTGAATTTGCTGCCTGACACATCAAGCTTCTTGATGGTTTGTGGTTTTGGCGGAGCAAAAGTTTTGACAAAGTAGCTGGGTCCAAGCGGCGGGGGGTCTATGCACATTGACTGGCCCATCCCATGCTGAATGCCTTGCCGCATGTCTTCCAGAGAGCTGATCGTGCTCTCGCGGGACCCATCGGCGACCCAGCGTCTTTGTAATCCGAAAGCGCCCTCACACCGTCCTTTACCGTGGTGTTCGGCATAGAAGTTGAGAGACACCTGCCGGAAGGCCACATTGCAGAAAGAGCCATCTTTGCACACTTCGATCGGGTTCCACAAAAACTCCTGAGTTTGCAAAGCAGGGCCATGATTACACAATTTACTGGGGGTTACTTCATGTTGGGACAAGCACCTTAACACGCATGTTTCTGGAGGTGGTCAATAACTAGTGCAAGTCAAGGATCATAAGATCTAAAGTGAGGTCCACAATCGGCCCAAAGCTCAGTGTGATGATGTGTCAAACATAGAGATTTCAGTAAATCATTTCAAGCAAACGATTGCGAAGGCACTGTCATGATTCAAGATCTGGCTGATGTAATGGTGGTATTGTCTCTGCTCAGCACCTTCTGCCAAAAAAATGGCAATAGAATCCCAAAGTGGTCATTTGCTCTCTCGCCGTTGCCCAGAACCAATCCTGAGCTTCCTCTGGCCCTAACGGCCAAGTCATATTCTGCATGAAATCAAGCTGAATGTCAACCACGCCTTGCGGCAGGTCCGCCTCAAGACTTTCGCGCTGGCGGTTCTGCCTGCGAACAGTGGCAAAGTGATTGGCGCAGCTCTGGAACAAAGACTCTTGTTCCATCAATCTCTGACCGGCTGCTCCTTCAGCTTCTCTGAGATCCTGTCTGAATTTAACGGTTCCAGGTCGCGTCCGCTGACGAGCCCTTTTTGCAGAGGTGGTGTCAATGTAAGTCTTCAGTTTGGATACAAACTGCAACGACAGCATATCATCTGGATCGGCTTTCCCAGCATCACGCATCATTTTCCAGTCCTGCTCAAGCGGTTCAAATTAGTCTGCTTGCACGTTGCGCACTCGACCAAAGACTATGTCTAATTGACGCCCCATATGCTGTACGTGAAGTTGTCCTGAGGCATATTTCTGGCTGGAAAGCATTTATACAGGAAACGCATGTGTTAGTCGGCTGCAACGTTTTGGAAAAACATGTGCCCATCAACAAGGCTTCCAGCACGCCAAACCTACAAGAAAAGTGTATGAACCATATCATTCTCCCGTTAGCCCTTCCAGTCAGCTGCAGTCAGCCAAGGTGCTCGGCGTCCTGGGGAACTGACTGCGGTGGAGCTACTGCCGGTGCCAGCCTTTGTGCTTTTGGAGCCTTCTGCCTGTGCACTGGTGCCTTTCTGTTCTGCCAAAGCGCTCTTGGAGCCTTCTGCCTGTGGAGCGTTGTCTTTCTGTTCTGCCAGAGCGCTCTTGAAACCTTCTGCCTGTGGAGTGGTGTCTTTCTGTTCTGCCGAAGTGCTCTTGGAACCTTCTGCCTCTGCAGTGGAGTCTTTCTGTTCTGCCAAAGTGTTCTTGGAACTGTCTGCCTGTGCACTGGGCTCTTTCTGCTCTGCCTTTGCGCTCTTGGAACTGTCTGCTTGCGCACTGGACTCTTTCTGCTCTGCCTTTGCGCTCTTGGAACTGTCTGCTTGTGCACTGGAGTCTTTCTGCTCTGCCTTTGCACTCTTGGAACTGTCTGCCTGTGCAGTGGAGTCTTTCTTCTCTGTCTTTGCACTTTTCACTAGGTCTTTCAGCTGTGGCAGAGTTTCCAACCCCGACTTTTCGCACAGCTCCTTCAGCCGGTTCAGCTCGGTCTGATCTTGTCGACGACAAATCCACCGACTCTTGGAGCCAACCGACAACACAAAAGTTGACACAAAGCCAGAGGCCGCTAGCCGTTGCTCTTCCCAAACCAAGAACTCCGGCATGGGTCAGAAAATTGGGACACGGAGGCTTGAAGCCAAAAATAATTCGAAACCAGAATCAAGCTTTATATCAACTCGACAACTATGGCTTTTGAGGAGGTATGTTTCCAGGTATGTCTCCCAGCTATGTTTCCGCCTATGTTTCTGACTATGTTTCAAATAACCTTCAACATGCCTCTTGTCTAAAGTGCCAAGCACCGTATTAAAAGAAACAACCATATATATATATGTTATATAACTATCTATCTGTTATCTTGGTACGCCTAGACTTTGCATCATGTCACTAAAATTCACTAGCAAACCCTTTTCGGGCTCCTTGGCTACACGGCAATTCATCCCCGACAGAGACACCGCTTTTTAGGCGTGTGAGAGCGACGAAAGCAGTGGCCCTGACTGACAAAGGCTCTGAGTTCCCATGGCACTTCCGAGGGATTTCTGCGAATGCAGGACCCCGCCGTTCTCGCCATTTAACCTCTTTGGTGAGGTCATCGTTCGCAGTGATATTGATGATCAATTTGATAACGAATAATGTTTCCATAGGTCTCTGTCCCTTCCACACGACCTTTGCTCGGGTTAGCATGTCCGGGCCACACGGGAGCCAGCAACCAAACGTCTCAAATTAGCCACAGAAGGCCATCAAAACAAAAACAACAAAAACACGTTCGAGGAGATTTATTCTAGTACAGTATTTCCCGATTCATGCCGATTCTTCGACCACCAAACTCCGGTGTGTTCAGCGGAGTAGGATCTCTAGTGGTCTCGATCTCTCTGGGATGGTTCTTCGGCAACATGACGCAAGACTGTCTAGGAGTCTAGCAAGGGCTTGGAAAGCTCTCTGTCATTGGCTCCTTGGCTCCCTCTATCATGGAAAATATGGATACCACTATGGATAACCCCACCTCCTTAGCTTAGCACCCTCCTGAGCACCAGCTAGCTAGGAAACACTTGGAATCACCGTGGCTCGAGCTCCCTAACGTCGGCCCTGCTAGGCTCTCCGGCCATTGAAATGACCACATCGAAGTCGCAGCCTCACATGAAACAACTGGAACTATCCAGGATATCTTGGAATGCTCTTCATGCATCTTCGGCCGCGGTCTGCGTTTCCCTATTGGGCTGTGACTCTACTTCAATTTAATCTCCCTCAATGAAGAACCCTGCGACGTCTTGATGATGGGACAAACAAGATTCAACACTCATATACACAAACAACCAAAAGACAAATTCAAAATAACAGCTTTAAAAAGAATGGGAATCCGAATTCCCCCTTTCTTTAGAGAAGTGACCTCAGGCCCATGAGATGAGCACCCGTGACCCTGCCAAACTGCACCCTGTTTGGACCTAAAGTCCATGGACAGTAGCAAAATCAACTATAACATACTATAACCAACATGAAAACCCAGCCACTGAGCATGCGAACAAACTGGCAAGCCGCACCGACCAGACCATCCGGCCATCCGTCTCCCCCCAGACCACCGTCTGACCCAAACGCTCCATGTCCCAAGAATCGCTTGCGGACCGTCCCCAGAATCGCTGGTGACCCAAACACCGTTCCCCCGTCACTCAGAGAGGCCTTGTGTGCCGAAGCCTGTGCTCATACTCCCGAAAAGCTTCGCATGACTGGGGCGGGTAGGCTCGGGCCCGGCCCGGTAGGCAATGCAAAGGACTCCACCCAAATGGTTCTGTGATGTTATGTCTTTTGGTTTGTGCCACAAGTCACAGGACAAAAACTTGGGATGATGGTGAATAAGCTTTGAGTACTCAACATCTACCTGAATCCTGTCCACCTATTAAAGACACGCCGGCCCCCGCCAATAAGGAAACCTCGGTTATTTTGTTTAATAGGGGTCCTTGAAATCGGGGTGATCCAAAATAGGGTCACCTGGGAAGGGCTTCAAAACCAAAAAGTCACCCAGGAAAATGTTATATAAAATCCTTTATTAAGCTCGTACCAAAAATTCAAAAAACCTCCAGATCGAAGGGTCCTCCCTTCCCCTACAAAAACCTTTGTTAGAATAGTAAGAAATTCATCATTAGACTAACAACTAAAGCTTTTGAAAGGTGATGTCGCTGTGCCATGCGGTTTTGCGTGACCTCGGTGGAAAGTGCATTTGCGTGAGTCCGTGCCATTGGGGGAAGGAAAACCTGCTGGTGTAAACACGGTGTGTCATGGTGGATAGACAGTGTGGACCGAGGCGGGCAGTTACGGTTGTTTTTTGGAACCTGATTGGAAAAGAACTCCTCCAAACTCGGCCATGTTGGTAGTTTAGTAGCGGCTTTAAAGGGCGGTAATTTAAAAAACAAATACAAACATATATAAACCGTATTTGGGGTGTTCTGACCTGACTTTTTTTTAATTAGTAACCGCTTTTAAATAGGTACTCGGGATTAAAGAAGGAGTTTTGGCCTGTTTGGAACCTTGCAAGGGTCGAATCCCCCACTTAAAAGCAAGAAATGACTGCCTGGCCCGACCAGCACTTGCAGCTGGGTCAACAACAGCACAGGCTCTTCTGCACCAGCACCCATTTAGTTTCCGAGCTCAACTTGTGCTTTCTGCGTCCAAGTCACCACTGGCGTTCCGGCTCCAAATCTGGGCACAGCAGGGGTGGTGGTTGCAACCACTGCCAATCATCATAGCTTATCACACGCACACACACACACCCGCGCGCACACACACACAGATATATATATATATATATATATATCTGTGTGTGCGACTCATTTCCAATGAGTTAAGAGTAGGGCACCGTGCTCCTGCAGTTGTCAACCGTAGTACTGAAGCAAAGGTGATGAAGCTCTGTAGAAATGTTGGAATTGTTCCTAATGGTCTTTGCTCGCTCCACCAACCACATTAAAAACAACACCAAGGAAGCCAAAATTGTAGTAATATTTCATAATTTCCCAACACGTTGGTCCATCCAATTGAAGTCACTAATTACGCAATGCCACCAGGTATAATACAATAAAACAATTCGCACGTCATGTGTACAACTAATAGTTATCCACTCTTATATCCAGTGGGTCACCCATCCGCAGCACGGCTACGGCGGGACGAACAGGCCGTCCGCGCGACCACGCCGTTGGTTCCCCCGTCAGTGTCCATAGGAGGCTTTCCCGGTGGCACTCCCGGTCCAACTCACGACCCTGACGTCCCTCCTTGGGTCCGAGTGTAGGCTCCACCAACCAGTTTTCAGGGTCAGGATCGTCGCCACTGGTTGGTGTAAACTGAGTTTAAACTGTTTGTTTTTTTCCTGTAGTAGTGGGGAAGCGGTTGGGTTTACCCATCCCCCCAAATTGCTTGAAGGATAGCAACCAACTGGCTAAGCAAACCTACAACAAGCCAACATAACCCTACCAATCCAACAAGCCAACCAAACGAAACCACTCTGGTTGGCCCATGTGGTGAGGGTCTGTGCCTTCTTTGATGATGGCATTCAAGGCCTCCATAAACTTCCCGGCCTGGCAATCAACTGATCTTTGAGCCATGCTTCGTCCATGTTGAGTTTTCGCCACATCATGCCACATCCAGAGACTCAACCGAAGCCCGAAGAAAAAACGCTGAAGAGTGAAGAAGGGTAGAACACGGTTGTTCTTTGGCCTGCCAAGCTTCATATTCTCTCTCTCTCTCTCTCTCTCTTCTCTCTCCAGCACCTTCCCCATACCGCCAGCAAAGTTCACCCAAATCAAATCATCTCATGCTTCTTCCCATCCCACATCCCACTGACAAATCCAAGCCCCCCATCGCCTGCTTGTGATCCTCCTCTTGGATCATCTCCTTCTTTGCCCCAGTGGCCTTCTGAAGCCTCTCCTGACTCTCCTCCGCACGCGGTGAAAAAAAAAGCAGCCGGCCAAGGGAGTGAGGCGATGAGGGGCTGGGGTCATCATCTATTGACTTTAGATTATGCAGAACATCACGAATGATGACCCCTCATAATCATATATGTTGAGGGGCCGCAGTCATTTCAGATTATGAAGAACATCATGAACCGAACACAACTGATAATATGATCCCTGAATCCTTGACAGCATGACTAGTTCTACAATCATAAGAGATGGCACAGCCTAAAATTGTGGAGAGCGCCCTGGCTCTATCCCACCATTTTTTTGCAATATGAACAGTAGAGCAATGTGACAGTGGAACTCCTCCAACTAACATAGAAATTATACAATTTGCGCCTCAAACTCACTGACAAACCTCCGAAGCGTCTCAACGTCCAAATGCTATTCTGCTACCGGTTGTTGGCACGTGGCTATATCTGCGCCAATCGGAGCGTCATGAAATGACAAAACCCACTGGGCCGCCCTATGAACCCATCAAATGCGTCAGCTGTGCCATGGCGTGCTGAAAAAAGGTGGGAATATTTAGAACTACACCGCTTGAGGGCGCCTTCGTTAACAGTCCTAAGAATTATATCCAACACACAGCGAAAAGAACATTGACGAGTGTACAGTACCATGGTACACCGCATGTTGGCTCTAAGTCTCTCATTACACAACAGGTCTAAAGTGGGTACGACTCGACATGCTTTAAGTTTAAAATAGAGGTGCCCCTGCAGAGCCGTTGGATTTACGCATTCCCATGCCACGAGGAAGGAGGTCGATCCTTTCACGATCTTTCGTGCCTACTCGTCAAATCTGAGGTTTTGCGGAGCAGTGTTTCTAAAAACATCTGTTAAGCTGCTCCAACCGAGCTCTTCGGACTTCGGATCTTCTTCGGCCCACGCCTGAGGAACTTCGTCGGCAAACCCTCCGCTCATGGGCGGCAGTGGCACCCTGCCGCGATCAGAATCTTGGTCCACTTCTTGGTCCCTAAAAGCATGGTGCTGCGCAAGTGGTGCTGCACCAGTGTCACAGTGTCACACTAGAGAAAATGGCCAGCACCTAGGCCCCGCAGGACTAGACCAACTTTGGGATCCAATTCAGGGCGTGACGCGCAACGAAGCCACCCGCACGAATCCACCACAGCAGTCACTATAGCACTTCGTTCGTGGCCTGTGGCATCGCCAAGTCTAAACATGGTCGAGTCGAACACTCAAAAGGCTGAACTCGACTCGAACAGTTGTTTGATGTTGTTTGACTTGGACAGGTCCTAGAAACTTCAGCATGGCTGTGGTGCCAACAATCCTCCACAAACGGTTCGATCCCGGGGATGGCAGTGTTCTGTCTCCACAGGCGTTCCAATAAGAAGGAACTGGAATCATTTGGTTGTGTCCACCCAGAATTCCATGCCCTTCTCCAGGGGGGAGCAATTGGATCACATTGACTGACACATGGCACCGCCACTTCTCCTACTTGAAAGCTCCTTCCAGTGCCTCCCATCACCACAAACGTCAGAGATGTCAGATGTCGGTGACCGTGCCGGATTTCTGTGGATCGATCGGTGGACCATCCCCGCTGTCGTCCCCGATTTCGGCCGCCTGGGTGGTTCGATCCGGAAGCCCAAAAAGGGGCTTTTGTGCTCCACCTGCCGGGACATGTCTCGGTCGGTTCATGGGTGCCACTGGTGGATTGGTGGATAGTGCAACACCTGAAGGACTATATAGCATCTCCAAGCATCGGACTAGTATTAGATAGACTCTTGAGAAACAAAATCATTGCTTTGGGGGGGGTTGGACACGTATAGATTATTCGTACCTACATCGATATCCTTGGTGTTTTCGTTTGGCCCTCCGAACCTGCGGACACCCTTTCAGGATGTTTGCAGGTATGTGCTGGCCCTGAGGGTGTTGCTCAAAAAAGGGGGCTCACTGCATCGTGCATGCAATCTGTGACAGGCTCGTGGCCTCCAAGCCCTTTGTAACGCTCATCACCCTTTTCCATCAGAATTCCCCGTCCGAGCTCCGCGTGGGTTTCGAGGAGCTCACGGTTTGCCGAGATTTATGGCGGAAACGGATGCGTACGCATACGGTTTCTGCGCATCTGTTTTTTTCGTCCTCAGGCTCTTCCCAAATGACCCCATTTCAGTCACTTGGGGCTGGTCTTGGAGACCCTCAGCAAAGGTGGCATGGCGGCTGTAGCAGCTGCTGGCCCGTTCAAACGCTCGAGGGCCCGGTCTAAGATCAAAGACTTCTCACTAAAGTGATCTTGTTGGATCTTCAGCTGTTGAGCGCTATGAGCAGCGTCTAGGGGAGGCACTGCCATGGCTTCCTGGAGTTTGACAAAGCTGATCAAAGCTTGCAGCACATCGCCGGATTCAAGAGACCTCGAGCCAGTCAGGGACTATTGCTAGCGATGTAGCACTCGGGGTATGGCTCTGCAAGTGAATAGTTCGCACGAGGTGGAGTGGTGCTTCAATGCTTAGGATAAGCTCTCCCGATGGAGGGAATTCTGCCGAAATACCCAACCACTTTCTCTTAGGAGAACGAAAAGAACGGAATGCTGTGGATCAAACTCATATTGCAAAGAACAGGGTGAACACCGCAAGCCATATAGCTCCTGGGTGCGAACACAGGTTGGATCAAAACGATGGAGTGGGGCCTTGAGAGCTGTTGATGCATCGCAATGATGGAGGTCTCTTCATCGGGGCACAACTTGGCCATGTCAAAGCTCCTGGGATCAGGCACAGTCAAGTAAGAACGCCCAATGACCCATTCAATGTTACGTGGCACCCTGAACCAAAACCCCAATTTCGTCCAAGGTCAAGCGAGGACGTCTTGTTTGGGACTTCTAAGGTCCAGTGTGACAGAAAGGATCCATCAACAACCAGAAAGAAGCCGAAAAGCACTCCTATATAAAATCTTGACTCCGGTTTGAGTCTTTTCACCCATATGTGGAAGGGGCTCTTTTTTCGACATAAACACAAACTGGCACCTTCACAGTGCCAGGAAAATGGGTGATGTTCGAACACCTAAGGAATGCGGGAACAATATCATCGGGCAGCTCCTACTATGGCTCACTGTCCGTGCCCGCCTGAAGGTTGAAAAAGAATAAACATCTCATCCATTCTCATCCAACGATATTGTTTGCCTTCAACTCTGCGGATCCAACAAAGAGATCCAAAGCTGCTCAGTCTCCAATCCAAGTCTCCGATCTGCTTCCTGGAGGCACTTGGCTTCCTCCTTCTTCACCTCAGCGATGGCCTTCTGCATTTGCTGTTGCATCTGCTGCTGCGCTTCAGCCAGGGCCTGTGCCAGTTCCAGGCGCAACTCTTGGATACGGCCCAGTAAAGACTTCAAGGACTCCTGGCGACGACACAAAAGGACTGACCCGGGCGAACCGATGGGACGTTCTGGGAGGAAAGAGCCTTCATGTGGCCATTTCGGGTGGTTTTTGGAGGGGGGATCTTCAGGGCATCAAGATTTCACACGTCCCCTCACTTTCAACGGAGTTCTGAATTCGCATGAAATTCGCGGAGTCCATAGAGACTATGGAAAGCTGAAAGTTCCATGAATTCGTCTGGGAGGTGCAAGAGGTAACTCTCACTGCCAGCCGGCTCGGATGTCTCTGAGCGACTCCGGAAACGCCCGAGCTCCGGCCGATCGTGAAAACGTTTTCCCCTCCAAACCTTGGGCTGCGGGTTGGGTGGAGGAGTTGCGTTGTCAACCGTGCGTCAGGCGGTCGTCTCGGTCGTGGCGCTTGCGGGTGTCAGTCTGAGTGTCCTGAATCTTTCGTGGAGCCCGCTAACGCGATCGGTGGAGAAAGCATGGCCAGTACATGATATGGTGGGTCGATGTAGTCCATTTGCGATCCAAAGGGGTTGGAGATCGGTCACAGCTGAGAAAGGTTTAACGGGGCCGTCCTGATGAGAGCAAAGCGCCTCCAGCAAGTCGTCCACTTCGGAGGCGATGCCTCGCCCAGCCTCCGAGACGCTTTGGACTTCATGGCCGCGATGCCTTCCATGCAAGCAGCACTCGGCACAAATGCACTCCGACTGGCACTGGAGGCAGAAGTAGTTCAAAGGCTCCTGGAATGAACACGCAGGCCATCAACCATCAGCATAGACTCCAAAAATCAAAACGGCAACACTCCCACCAGGAACAAAGGCGTTGTAACAATCCTTTTATATCGTTCTTTTATGTTCTTTTTCTGTAGGAAAGGGAGCGAGCAATACTGAGCAACATTGCCTGAGGATGCTCCGGGCAAGCATAGAATGTGCGACTCAATTGATTCAGGGCCATCAGCTTCTGCAATGTGCTGGGCAAGCGGGACTTCTCTCCTGGGCTGTTTGCCAACAAAGCCCAAGGGATGTAATATCATTATTGGTTAACTATATTATATAAAACTTAAAGTTACTATATATATATAGCGAGAGAGATTATGTTAAACTCATTGCATTGGTCCCGGCTACACGTCCAGTGCTCTGAATGATTTACGGGCTTTCGTGGGCTTTACATCCCTCCAGGTCCATCCGATCTCATCTTCGTCAGGCGTCCGAGCCGATCGGTTTGGACCTTCGGAGCTTCTCGCGGCGAGGGGGTCGCCTTCTTCGCGGCCTCGGCCTCGCAACTCAACGCTTGGAGCTGGTGGCGAGCCATCCGCCCCCGCTGATGCACTGCAGTCCCACAACGTCGGCAGAAGACTTCTTGGCATTGAGAGCACAAGAGATCAGCTGGCTCCTCAGAATGAGGAGGGAAAAATGAAAGCTCCGGGGTCCATGGCCATGGAGCTTTAATTTGCCCATGGCGGGTGAAAGACAAAAACTGAGAAATGCTCGATGCACCTCTGTAGCAGTTACATGTTAGCCTCACCGTGAACAGATTGATTAAACTAAACCAAACTAAACAGTGTAGCATACAGCTGATCACAGCTGGCTCTATATTTCGGGCTCTATATTTTCATCCAAAGCACACCTCGGACGAGCCAGGAGTGAATTTGAACTCTTTAGTTTCACAAAAAAGTAGGCTCCCCCACTCTGGCCCCGCTTGGATTTAGCATGGCGACCATGTTTGGAAAGAAGGTCAGGCTTTATGGCATGATGGCACGATGATGCATGATGTATTTTTTAAAGATTGGTTAGCATGGGTTAGTCACATCAGTCCACTGCCGGTTTCCGCACCGCGCTCCTCACATTGCCCGCAGCGCTGCCTTCCGGTGCCCGATCGCGGCGGTGAGTCCGGCGCCGAAAGCGCAGGCGACACCGAGACAGCCGCGGTGAAGGGGCTTAGAGATCCGGCCAAGGGCAGCTGCGTGGACATCTCCTGAATGAATCGTTAGGAGGGTGAGACAGCTGGGTGAGACCGGTGAGACCACGAGGATGATGGAAAGGAATCTTCTACATGACTTCAACTGCTGAATATTTAAAGCACATGATCCGAACTGATCACTTTTATATAGATCCAACATCTTCCAACAGTACACTGCACTTGTGCCTGACATCCAAGTCGCACTGCCATATGGACCTCTTCTCCGAGAAGTGCTGGGTGACAGCAAACTCTCCAAATAGGTAGCTGCAGACGTATCGACCTCCGTGACAGCCTGGCAGACTTTGCATGCCACCCGATGTCCAGCTGCGCCGTGATTCTCCAAGAGTTGGGCCGCCTAGGTGGCTACTCAGGGCAGAACATGCCGGTCTCGATCTGACCCGATGCGGAACTCGGAAATCCACGAACACGTCACAGCCGGTGGTGTTGAAGCCTCTTTCCCGAATGGACGATGGCAAAGGTCTTTCCCAAAAGAATCCTGTAATCCTTACGAATGGGGTGATAGATCCCGCAGTCTATGTAGGTCAAACCTAACACACCAGTCTATGTAGATGCGTGAGGAGGACCGTCTCGTCGAATCGTAAGAACTGACGACCAGACCAAACCGGGCCGCACAATGTAGGCAAAGGTTGTGCTCACACACCAACAGCAGGGATGCAGTGTCCAAGGACAAGCCACACCTCAATATATTCGGCACAAAAAACACCAGGGAGTCAAGGACAAACATGCAGAGCCATGGTTCCCATCTCCCTACGCAAGGTACAATTACACCAAAGAATCCGACGATATTGGCAACTGAAAATATTTTTTCAATGCCATTTCTTTGGCTCACCTGGCGCAGCGTTGGCGAACAGGACTTTGACATGGTGAGCTTGCTGCCGACATCGGCTCTTGTCCGCGCTCTTTCTGTCGCTCTCTCGACTCTACACGTCGTTAAAGGCGCGAAAGGCAACGAGCAGCGTCCAACACAAAGGGTGATGATGTGCCGATCTTGATCTGGGCTTGTATTTTAATATGGGGACCTCCCAACCAATGGGTTTTAAACTGGTTTTAGTCTATATATGCTCATTCTGCCAGTTGGTCTTTGGAATGTCTCCCTATTCTAGTACACACCCAATTTTGGGAACATGTTGTTTCAGTCCACTCTGAGTCCACTCTCCAATCCATGGCACCTACTACCCTCCTTATAGGATCCATGTGTGCACGACAGTTTCATGATTCCACAATGGGTGATGATGGGCGCCGCGCCCCTTGAACATCAAAAACGGTCTTCACAAAGGGTGTCTCTGGATTTTATAGAGTGGGCCGCTCTCAGTTTGACCTTCTCATCACATCTACCACATCTTCTCACATAAATCTGATTGCCTATATCTTCTCCATCTCTGAGCCGGGAGTGTCAATTGTGAGCAGCTCATGCCGAATGAGAAGACACCCCATGACGCCGGGCCGCAGCCACTCTCAACGACACACCACCCGGTACAACTGCGCCAAAACGCTTCCAAACACCTACCACAACCGGGAAGAGACCCGCATGGAACCTGGCAACCATTGTAGAGGGAGAGAGTCTTCCAGTCTGGTCCATGCCATCAGGTTATATCAGGTTCCATGGAAGACTCTTTCCAAATGCCAAGACCACATCTCACCATCTCTCACAGTGAGTGTCTGATCATTACGGGAACTTGTGGAACACTTGTTTTACTACGTGCCCCCCTTCTCTTCAGGTATCATGATGCATGAGATTGTCTGGGCAAGGGGGGAAGTCCACAGAGGAATTAGAACTTCACTGTAGCCTATCCCACATGTCCAACGCCCATAAACTGACCAAGTGATCACCAATACTGACTCGAAACCACTTCGTTCCTACAAATTGATGCCTTCCCCGAAGTAAATGATGGTCTGTGAAGGTGTCTACAGTGAGAATACCGTCTAGAGTCTAGAGTCTATATAAAGTTCTGTAAGATTGCATGTCCAGGTGTTTCACACGGTGTATAAAGTCCTGCCCTGGCCCTTCGTCACCTCGCCTCTTCAAATTGAGAGCCTCACGCCGTCTCCACGCACACGCGCCAAAAAGGCAGGTGAAAACTGAAAACGTTTCCAAACTCTCACTCAGCAGCTTGGTTGGAGGTCAGTTGGAGTGATATGACAGTAAATATGTTTAATAAATATACAGTATATAGACTATATTGAACTATAACTGTAAGTTGTAGTTTGGCACACGTAGTTGCAAAACAAAGGGTGGATAATGCTGCTTGATTGACCACGACATGACATTACATTAGTGGCGGACAAAATTTCTTGGTGTCCCCTTTCCCCAATGCCAAAAGTATTTTGGGTTGGCCCCTATCGGTTTCCGCCCTCGGGTAGCCCTCAGGTCTTGCTGCCTTGCTGTTCAAGTAATTCAGCCGGCCGGCGGAATAATCCCCAGAAATTCCAATGTGTTTGACCAGACTGTTCTTCGTGCCGGCTGTGAACCCACAAAAGCCCCAGAAACGGCGGACCAGTTGACCAAAGACCACTCACCACGGACCGGATGCTTCGATGATGTTCGGCCCCATCCGACGGAACGGTCCGGCCCAAGCGGCTGTTCGGGCGCCGCTTGGGCACCGCCCGCTGTTTGAGCTCCAACCGTTCGTCACCTCATGCCAAGGATGGGCCGGGGGACAAAGACCAAAGTAAGTGGAGGTCGAAGACATACAAAGCCCAGAAGAGTTGCTGTATATATTGACTATATATTAATTAACTATATGACTATATATGTGTATGTGCTGTGTTCTGTGTTTTTTTTTAAATGAGTAGGTGATTTATTGCGATATTCAGATTTAAAATCAAACCGATTAAAACATATTCTCTAGGTACATATATAGGACATCAACCAGCTTCAAAATTGAGCCAGTTCTTAAATTCAGGCGGCCATCCATTTGCTCAGCAAGTCCCCTTCTTTTCGACTGTGGGATCCGAAGGAAAGACGAAGGAGGGGACTCTGCAATCTGAGAAATCGAAGTTGTGAACTCTTGAAATAACTAATTACATCGGCCAAAGTACATAGATGGCGCAACCCCCATGGGCATGTTACAGATTCACGTCAACATACCACACAGTCAAAACCATCGATCGCTTGAAGAGATACTGCTCCCAGCACTGAATGTCAAGCAAACGAAGTCTCACCGCTCTACCTTACACTCTCTCTCTATTGTGACTGATGTGACTCGGACAACGAGGGAACACATTCAAAAATCCCTGCTTCTCGTTCGCTATCCTGTTCAACCACCGGAAGGGTGTTGGAAGGCGCCTTTCGTCGCGAGAATTGGCTCCTGAGAAACGTTGACCAACTTGAGCTTGCTCGCCTTAGCGGATGAGAACTTCCTCCGAGAGGATGCGGACACGGCATGCTGCGGACAGGTGGTCCGCATAGTGAACCGGTGTAGCAATGTGTAGGGGGGGGAAGATCCAACATATACTGTAGGTGTATATGATAGATACACATACACTATACTAGACTATACATTGTATCTATAAGTATGTTCCAGCAACCAAAGATGCGAGCCCTGTTTCTTGTACCACCTCCCTGTTCTGCTTGCCCTGGAGGTCCCGGGAAGCAAGGGAGCTCGCGACACATCTGCACTTCATAGCATTGCTAGACTGCGAGAGCTTGGACAAAGCCATGAGTATGAAAGTAGAATCTAAAATATTGTATGATCATGCAGTGGTCACACCAATTCTCTTCACACCCTGGGGCAAACAACCTGGTCATTGAATTAAACAACTTGAGAATAGTAGTGGGTCCATGAATGTTCCGGTTCGATGCCCATGTGTTCAGGGCTTTTCATACCCTTTCTTGTGCCGGGTGAACTATTGATCATTGATCAAAGTATTGACCACAAGCAATCCTAGTCCCAATTTGTTGCTTTCAAATTGCAACGTCCCTCGTTCCTGCAGGGAGCGCCCACCAGGGCCCCTGGCGGGTGCAACTGCACCGGAATCCGGTCGTTGTACGCTCACCGGGCCCACGGGCATGGGGCCGGCCTCTGAAGAGGCCACGACGGTCACGTCCCATGACCCGATATGACCTGATCAGTTACCCCACCCAAACCCATGAAAACATGGCACATCCACGAAGAAACCCCCATGCCACGTTCATGCGCCAAAGAGTTCGATGTGTCTTCCCTGACGCCAGAAGTAGTCGCTCCACATCGGACGGGAACAGGGAACAAGGCCATCTGCATACCGCCTTCCTGGAGCTAAGGATCAACCACACATGAGAGCCCGTGACGGTCCGCTGGTGCATTCCATCTATCGCCACTATTTCCGAAACGGCCCCAGACTGCGCAGGCGGCTGCAGACTTGGTTAGGTGTACCGGTGTACCTCAAACCATCCCAAACACGGAATTGGTCTGAGACCAGGTCCTTTCTTTAAGAACCCAACAGATGTTTGACCGAAGGTAGGTCTGACATGGTCTGAAAGACAACCAATTGAGGCACAGATTTGTCTGCACTACCTGGGATGTTAGGGCTACATAGTAGTTAGTCCTGTGTTTCTGGAACATGAGACGTCCATCTCGTTCACAGTCGTCCGCTTCTTGCTGGAGGAAGATTAATCCTTCAACTAGATGATAGAGTTACAGTACCCTAGGGCTCCAAGTACCTCCTCAGAAGATATTTGGAGATATTTGGACCCTCTAAACCCACCCCAAACACCTTCTTAAAAGGTACTTGGAGCCCTAGGGGCATATATATATATATATATATAGTTGTTGCTGCTGTAGGCGCAGTTGCTCAGTTGCTCCTGCAGAAAAAACGCATGTGCGGCCCCTAGCTAGGCCCTAGCAGCCCTAGCAAGCAACAACATCCAGCAAAAGGCTTCAGAAACAAATTCTCCACCACATTGCTTGGAGAGCCTCCTCATTTTCAGACATACCACTACCACTAGTTTGCTTGACAAAAAGTCAACGGTAAACCATTCCAGAAAACTGCACACAACAATTACACAAAACCACTGCCAGAAATGGTCCTTTTGTTTCTCAGTGTCGCTGTCTCACAGGGTCACCGAAGTTGTCACGTCACCGTTGTCACGTCGAGCGCACGTCGAGCGCCGCGGCCTCTGGAGTTTGTTTTGGCATCTTGTTGTTGCCACCTCCGCCTGAACAAGCATGGGTCAGCCAAAGAGGCACCTCCGCCTGAACAACCAAACCGGGAATGTGGACCCCAGGAATTTCCAGATGATGATCGACTAGTCACAAAGGATCTAGAGTGGATGTCGGATGGTTTCATATATGGTCTCTGGCCAAATCCACAAAGCAGCCAAGAACAATCTCCTGGTTTCATGATTCCAACATTCCAACATGTCTTTTTCCAGTCCAACCTTGGGTTCCCAGCTGTTCCCTGAAAGCCGTTTGGTGGAATTCACCTAGTCCCAGTTGTTGGAAGAATTCAGCGTCCACGAGGTAACAGTGACTTTTTCCGCAGGAACGAGGTTGAAGCATGACTAAAGTACAAACAACGCGAGAAGAGAATGAAATAAATATATGCAGAAATCATCAAAGCATGTCCTCGACATCACCCCTAGCGACTCCCCTGAAACCTCTATGTTCCAACAAATTGCTTCTTGGTTTTTGACCGACTGTGACTGATCCGTGTCACAAACTAACATTGGACTTTCCTTCTCGTATTGCGGCTTGGAACCGCGGTGATCTGTGTGCAGTGCCAGTCAATGCCAGTCAACTAGGCCAATCCGGGTCATGGATTCACACAAGTAGGACATGGATTCCAAGGCATATTTATTCCTGATCATCTTCAAATCTGACAATAAAACATTTTAAACTCGAGTACAGTATATACGTTGAAAGTCGCTACAGCAAGACTTGATGTGTGGCAATGGGCCAACCACTATGCAAACTATGCAATTGAGCTCTGCAACAATTGAAAAGCCACCCATGCAGCCTCCTCTATGGTATGTTGGATTTTCGTGCAGACTTGGAAGCTCAACCTGGTCCTGACA